CAGCCGAATATGAAGGGTGACACAGGATTGCAGTCCTCCATCTCTCGCCTGCACTAGTCTGGAAAGGGGTCCTGACTGGGCTTTGGGATGAGGGCAGAAGGGGTAGACTGGAGTTGGCAGGCTTCCTGCTGGAAATAGAGAGGGATGAGATGTAGTCAGAGAAACGTGGCTGGAAATAAAGTGGCCAGAAGAAACACCAGAGGGTTGGATGATGGGGCTTATTAACGGAAAGTGTCAGGTTGCAAGTTACAGAAAGTCCAACTAGAACTGACTTTAAAAAATTAATTTCGGCCTGGCGTGGTGGTGCACACCTGTAATCCCAGCACTTTGGGAGGCCAAGGTGGTCAGATCACCTGAGGTCTGGATGAGACCAGCTTGGCCAACATGGTGAAACCGTATCTGTACTAAAAATACAAACATGGGCCAGGCATGGTGGCGCACACCTGTAATCCCAGCTACTTGGGAGACTGAGGCAAGAAAATTGCTTGAACTTGGGAGGCGGAGGTTGCAGTGAACTGAGATTGCACCATTGCCCTCCAGCCTGGGCAACAGAGCGGGACTCTGTCTCAAAAAAAAAAAAAAAGTGAATTTCTTGATATTTATGGATACGTGCAATGAGCACTAGACGTAAGTGAAACTTCCGATGAAGCTTGATCAGCAGTTCAGGGACATCAGCAACCCATTCTGTCATCCCTGTGCCTTGATCACTGTGGTCTCTTAGGACATTTCTAGCTTGGCTTCCCTGCAGATTACATAATGGCAGCCTACAGGTTGCAGGGCTCTGTGGTTTTCATTCATGTCCAGCAGGACAATGAGCAACTTTCATTGTTCTCAGTAAAAGCCCTAACATTCCATGCTATTTGCATGAGCTTAGGTTTTAAGCCTATTCCTAAAACTTCACTGTGGCCAGAGGCAATGGCGGGTAATGATTGGCTTAGCCTGGGTCCCTATGTTTTATTCTAGAACTGGGACCCGTAGCATCTCATGGGTCTTCAGAATCCTACCTAGTGGGACTGGCTGCCTCTAGGGCTCCCCCTACTGTTCGAGTTCTGAGCTTTGTTGGTCACCATAAGGCAATGGAGCAGAGTGCAGGGCTAGCTGAGGTCTGCCAGTTAGGTTGAGCCTCATTTTGATGTGGAAGGACATGCTTATTTCCGCTCCTCTAAGAAACCCATATGGCCATCTTTGCACATGTTGTTGGCATGATTCCTTTTACAGGAGGAGTAATTTGGCTCAGATTCGTGGGTTTGTTTTCATTGGTTTTTACTAATAGTTTTCAGGCATCTGCTTCCTAACAGCTTCTGGTGTTTGTATATCATCAGAGCCAGTTTTCGGAATAGGTGGAGAACAGTCTTTATGTGCTATAAGAAATAAAGCTGGGCATGGATTTGGGAGCTTGGCAGACTTTTAGGCCCACTTCCAGCTGTGTATGTAAGTCTATGACTCTGGGCATCCTTTTTTTTTCATCTGAAAAATAGGTGCCTTGGATACCTGCCCCACAGGGTTGTCATGAGGCTGGAGAAAGATGTCTGTAGAGAATACCCTGATCCAAGTCATGTCAAACTCAGTGGTCTGCTCTTCAGGGAAGCCTTACTCTCCACCCCTCCAAAGTAGCTCACAGCCACCCTGGACACTCTTTATCATGTCACACATTTATTCATGTCATTTCATCTAAAATCATTTCATTTCATGTCCATTTCCTCTTGCTAGAATACGAAGTTTATGAAGGCAGGACATGTGTCTCTCTTATTCATCATAAGTTAATGTTGTGAGCAACTGGGACTCAGTCCCCCCAGGGAAGTCTAGGAGATGGTACAGAAGAGACCTCAAAGTTCTTCCTACTGAGAGGGATCTAAGGTATTTTTCCATGAACTCTCATCAGTCATTGGTCAAGGACTTCTCCTAGGAGGTGTTGATGACTTGATTCTTTGATCTGACATATCCACGGCAGAATGGGCCTGTGTCTTAGTTCACTTGTGTAGATAAAGAATACCCAAGGCCAAGTACTTTATAAAGAAAAAAAGACTCATTTGGCTCATATTTCTGGTGGCTGGAAAGTTCAACTGGGCATCTGCATCTGGAGAGGCCTTCAGGCTGCTTCCACTTGTAGTGGAAGGTGAAAGGAGGCCGGGTGTGTGGAGACCACATGGTGAGAGAGGAAGTGAGGGTGGTGTCAGGCTCTTTAACAGCCACCTCTTGAAGGAATTAACAGGGTAAGAACTCACTCAGCCCTGAGGGAGGGCCTTCATCTCATCCTGGGGGATCTGCCCCCGTGACCCAAACACCTTCTCTTAGGCCCTACTTCCAACACTGGAGATCAAATGTCAACGTGAGGCTTAGAGAGTCAAATACCTAAAATGTAGTGGGCTTTCATGGACAGATTCGGTGATTCTTAGAGTTATAGACAAAATCTCTCGGGTGATTGCAGTTGGCAGCACTTGAGTCTACCTGCATGGTGATGGTGGGCACCAAGGGGATTGGGCAAAGTGGCCGTAGCACCTGCTGCACAGTTGAGTCCCCATCAGCAGGCATGACGGTAAAAATTTGTTGGATGGTTCAAGAGGAGCAGGGTCCCTCCAGGAAGACAAGTTTGAGATGAGGCCAATGCCCTCTCATTGCCGCAACATGTCCTTTCCCCGCTGCTCGTCAGGGCAACCATCTCTTTTCCTGTTGTTTATCTATCTGAGGACTAGTTTTAAAACTTCCTTCCACAATGCATTCTCTCTGAATATCCCAGCTGCTGATTTTCCTCTCAGTGTTAAGTGCCAGGACTAATGCTGGTGTATTACTCATGGGCTGGTTAGCACAGGGAGAGGGGTACCAGGCCTTCCTCTATTCTAGAGCCGGGGTTTGCAGCCCTAGGTGTACATTGGAATCGATGAGAGTTGTTTCATCAGGGCTCCACCTCCAGATGCTCTGATGCAGTTCATTCGGGATAAGGCACAGGCATTTGGCACTTCAAAAAAATTCCCATTCTCTGCTCCCCAGGTGATTCTGACATGCAGGCCTTACATAGGCACTGTAAGGGAACCACTGACCTAGACTTTACATACGCACCTAACACAGGCATCTGAAGAGGTCAGAGGTATGTCTAGCTTCAGAAGCAGCTAATCTAGCAGATAAATGATGTCATCAAGGGCTCAGTTTCTGCTTGTTTTGTTGTTTTTTTTTTTCTTCTCTCTGTCTTGCTTTATATGATGTCTGACTTATTAACCCTCTGATTATTAGATAAACTCTCATAATTCCTAAATAGTTACCAGCAGGTCCTAGGGCTATGTGCGTTCTCATTCATGTCTGGTAAAGGAGAATATCTTTGTCTCATTATTCCCGGCACAAGTTTGGAGATTCATACCATTTGAACTAGTGTGGGTCTCAAGCCTATCCCTGAATTGATCCTTGTGGCCAGGGGGATGGTTCAGACCATGTACTTCATGCCCAGCTCTAGATGTGTCAGTTCCCCACTTAGCCCTGTGTGCCCAATACACTCACCTGGGTGGCTTCTAAAGAATTCTGATGCTGAGGTCCCACCTTCAGGGATGTTCCTTCAATTGGTCTGCCATGGCACTCAGGTGCTAGCAGTTTTCAAAGTTCCCAGGTGATTCTGATGTGCGGCCAGGGCAGAGAACACTGGCATAGACATCATACAGCCTCAAGATGCAGGTTAAGACCCCATATGGGAAGAATCATGAGGACAGATCCTCTCCTGGGCCTAAGTTGATGCCTTGCTGGGGACAAGTCACATGCTCAAAGCCTTAGGGGACCACCTGGCTACATGCAGGAAGCCCAGAGGAACAGATCTGAACTATCCAACAAATCCTCATCATCGCACTTACAATTTCCAACCATGAGAGACAGCATCTGAGTGGGATGTGCCATGAATGCAGGAGGTTTGGTGGCCTGCCCCTACCAGTGACCATGGCTGCCTGAGATATTCCCCTTTTCTACATCTGTTTCCCCATCTATTACACAGGCTCAAAGGATAGTGATGCCTCTCTGAATTGACTTCAGAAGAATGAGATTTGTGGGAGGTATCCTGATCCTTGGGGTGAGGCAGAATCCCCTTGTAGGAAGGGTCTATGATAGAGGGAGAAGAGTTTAGTCTCCCTGTAGAGTCACTATCGGCTGTGCTGTCTTACGCAAGTCCTCCTTACCTCTCTGAGTTTCAGCAACCTCATCAGTACAACCAGGACTCTAACCATCTGGAATGCTTCACAGGAGTATAATTAAGATAATGTATATAAGGCCCCTAGTGCAGCACCTGGCACAAAATAGGGTTTCAGTAAATTGCTTTCTTTCCAAGAATGCTACTGTTAGCTTTTAATCTTTTAAATGTGATGTCAAATGGTGAAACCAAGACCACAGTGTTCAATATGAGTAATCACTTGCTGGTTATAGGCTGAAACCACTTGATCATCCTCTAGACCCTAAAATCTTTCAGCAGGAGGCCCTGCCATCCTCTTCATCTCTGCACTCCGGCCCATACCACAGGGGCTCCAGACTTTCCATATCAGAGGGTCTTATATCTTTTTGGAAGCAAGGTGTTGAGAAGGGTCTTGTCTTGAAGTTGCATTTGCATTTGTTACAGTATTTGCACTTGGATTGGATGTTTGTTGAGGATGACCTGCGGGCTGGGGAGGATGAAGTCACTGCCTGGCACAGGCCTGGCACGACGTAAGTACAGTTGACCCTCCGACAACACGAGTTTAAATGGAATGGGTTCACTCTCATGTAGATTGTTTTCAACCAAACATGATAGAAAATGCAGTATTTATAGGATGTGAAGCCTGCATATATGGAGGCCCAATTTTTTTGTAAACATGGGTTCCTCAGGGCTGACTGTGGGACTTGAGCATCTACAGATTTTGGTATGGGGAGTTTTGGAACCAGTCCCTCACACATACGGAGGGACAACTGCACTAAAAACTGGATGTCAAATGAATGTACTAGCCTTCCCTTTTCACAGCTTACCTCTCCTACCTAACAGAGTCATGAAGAAGTGATTGAGCGTGTAAGAAATACTTCTGTTTATTGGTTAGAACATGGTATAAAATTACAGCAATTTGCAGGCATTCTGGGCTTCTTGGGAGGGACATGCAGCGCTGGGCTCAAGCAGGGGATGGGGTGGAGATATGGACCACTGGGCAATGGCTCCCTTCCTGGGCATGTTAAAGGACTTGCAATACCAGCACAAATGCTAGTGTGAGAGAATTATTGGTCCTTGTTTCTGGAAACAAATGATATGGGCAGTTTGGGTCATCAGACAATGCCATGCTTAATAATTCAGTCCTATCCCACATATGTTAGGTGCTGGCTCTCCCAATCTGGTCATGACAGATCCTAATTGTTCTGGATAACTCTCATTCTTCCCACTAAAGGAAGAGAAACAGGCACATTGGTTTGGGAGGCCATCAGAGGATGGTGTGCATCTGGCTCTAGTCCTCTTGCTTCCATTTTCACCAAGGTCTGCTTGACTTGGAGACAGTGGGCTGGGGGCACATAAGCAGAATGTTGTGCACTACTGTTTAAGCTCAAGCAGAGGGACCTTCTGTAGGGCAGCAGTGTGAAGAGATGAGCATGCTTCCAAAACAAACTCAAATTTCATCTTGTCTCTCTCAAGAAGAGGAAGGAGGAAGAGTTGGCAATCAGAGACTGAGCCACATGATGCTGGGTTCCACAGAAAGTCTTCAGTAGAGAATTCTTCCAAAGTGTAAAAGGTGTTTCTGTCCCAAGAGTTGGAGTGTAAAGTCAGAACGAGGGCAGATCAGGGTGTTAAGGTGGTCGTTTAGTACAGTGTCTCTGAGAGCTGGAATGGCTGAGTGTCACCAGTTACATGACATTTTGAAACAGCTGGAGAGACCTCATGATGTTGTCATCCTGGGAAAGGAGGAGGGGAAGAGGATGGTTAGAACTCTGAGACTCCTCCCTGAGAGCTCTGTAACTCTGGTGAACAAATCTCAAGCATGGGTTTCCTGTATGGAGAAAACTCTACAAGGGTATGAAAAATTAGATGTAAGGGTGGGAACCTAGAAAGTAATCAGCTCAAAGTAAGAAGCACCACCTGTAGGCTTAAAGAAGAATTCAGAAGAAAGAAATCATCTAGTAAAATACTGAGTTGCTTCTTTTAAGAAGCTGTGAACAACTGCATTTCATAAAATTATTTTTGTACATCCACTGAGATGATTATATTTTTCTCTCTTTATTCTATTAATATGACAAATCACACTGACCAATTATTGAATGTTAAACCAACCTTGCATTCCTGGAATACTGTTTTCGATGCTACAAATTTTGATATGTCATATTTTCATTTTTTTAAATTTAAGATATTTTCTTATCTCAACCATGAATTAGAAGTTTATTGCTTAATACCCAACATTTGAGAATTTTTCTACATTCAATACTATAACTCAGAGAAGATATAATAGAAAAATGTAAAATACAGAACATGCAATAGAGACATACAATAAGAAAACTCCCCAAAGCTCTCTCAAAAATAAATCAATAAAGTAGATAAATGCTTATTAAGACTGCTTTTCAGATTATCAGTATCAGAAATGAAAGGTTAATGTCAGTATAGGTTTATTTGGTTCAGTATTTGGTGGCTGGAAAGTTCAGTCAGGCATCTCCATCTGGTGCATGTTTCAGGCTGCTTCCACTCACAGTGGAAAGTGAAGGGAATCTGGGTGTGCAGAGATCCCATGGTTAGAGAGGAAGCAAGGTTGCGGGTGGGGAAGGTGCTAGACTGTTTTACAACCAGCTCTCCAGGGAATTAACAGAGTGAGAACTCACCCCCAAGAGAGTCAGTGTTCATTCCATTCTAGTTGTTAAATATCTTGAGTATCACACTGTATATAGGACATCTACATAACAGGGCAGCTGCGATGTTTGTGTATGTGCTTGAAACTCAGTAGGGGCTCAGTACGTGCTAGCAACTTCTCCCCTGCTTTCTTACGTTTCTATTCTTCTTGGCTGCAGCTCAGAGTAACTGTACATTTCTAAAATAATGTGGGGGTACAAATGCATTTCCCAAAAGTAGATGAAGCAATTATTTTCGGTTCAGTCTCTAGTAGTGACTCTGGGGCCAGTTTATTAGTTAGACTTAGTGAAAGTTGTGTTCTCAGGACCAGCATCACCAGTGTGACTGAGGAGAATGTGAGAAAAGTAACATCTCAGGCCCCACCCCAGACCTAGGGAATTAGAATCTGCATTTTAACAAGACCTTCTCAAGGATATTGTCTCATACATTAAAGTTTTAGAAGCATTCGAAACAGAAATCCAAATACTGCATGTTCTTACTTGTAAATGGGAGCTAAATGATGAGAACATATGGACACATAAATAGGAGTATCACACACTTGGGTGTATCAGAAGACGGTGGGGGTAGGAGGAGGGAGAGAACCAGGAAAAACAACTAATGGGTACTAGGCTTAATACCTGAGTGCTGTACTAATCTGTATAACAAACCCCATGACACAAGTTTACCTGTGTAACAAACCTGCACATGTACCCCTGAACTTAAGAGTAAAAAAAAAAAAATGTTTTAGAAGCATTGGTCTAGGGCCTTTGTGTTAAAGTGACCCAGATCTATAGTCTCTGAGATTGAGGCCTAGAAATATACATTTTCAGAATCATTCCAGGCAATTTTTATATATACTCTGGTTTGAGAATCACACAATTGTACAGTCTTTCCCCCTAGCTGCTCCCTTGCAGTCTGGGGAATGAGGCATCAAGCCAGAGGCAGGCTAAAAAATAATGGTGTTGCCTTTTTGGGAAGTCTATCTTCAGAGAGACCCCCTCTGAGTTTTCACATCCCCACAGACTCCTACTTAGGGTCTCCATTCAGTCCTGTGCTTAGCCAAGACCAACCACAAGCCAGGCTGAGGAGTGGAACCACAGTTGTTGCTGGTGTCATTGGCTCTGATGGGCGGGGTTGCAGCTATGTGCAGGTTTCTCATCACCTTCCTTCTGCAAGTCCTCAAGCCCCAGATTTCCTTTCCCAGATGTAGAATTACTGTGACCTGAGATCTCTCCTTACCTCCTGACATGATTCAAGAAATTCATCTAAAGTCACGATGCCATCTTTATTTTTGTCCATTTTCTGAAAGACATAACAGAAAGCACTTTACGGAATCCGGTGACCTTCCTTCCAAAGCTTGCTCCCCTGCTTTCTTGCTCGAGCTCAGAGTAATGAGCTCAGCTCAAATGAGCTGGAGCTCATTTCATTAACCAACTTTGCCTTGAGAATGAGAGTTGTCTTTCACTGGCCAGACAATTCCAATTACGCCCTAATTACAACACTTTGACCCCATGAGCTTCCTTAAATCGAAAGACTTGCTCTGGACACTCATCACCTCGCTGCTGGCTTATTCTGCTTCTTCTGTAGACTCCCTACTACCCTGTCCATCTGGCAGAACACTGGGTACAAGAGGTTCTGATTCTGGCCTTTACTTGTCATATAAACTTGCTCAAGGCCCAAAAGGACTCTCCTTTCCTATCTGAAAAGTGGGAGGTCGGACTAGAATGAGCTCTGATACTGTCTGATAGTCCACTGCTAGATTAATTTTTTCCTAAAATGCCCCAATGATCACACCACTCCCCTAGTCAAGGATCAGCAGTAGCTGCCCATCCTGTACCAGGGCAAGGCAGGATGAGACCTTCATTTAAAGGTCTCACAATCTGGCCCTATCCTAGTTTCCAATCTTATTTCCAATTACTGCCCAGACACAAATGCTTAACACCTCCACAAATGTAATTAATGAGGTCTTCCGTGCTTACTCTAATTCCCCAATTTTTATGGATTTAGAGTTCATACTATACCGCTAACATTTAATGATACACTTTCTTGTTCTCTTCTGTCGTGTACACTTGCAACTTAAGGAGACCATCTGTTTCTTGAGGACAGTGTATCTTACAATTCCTTTCTGTTTCCAGCCATGGTTAGTACAGGGTTGGACACAAATCACTTGCTTAGATGCTCCTGGGTTGACTTGATCTAGGTTGGGCTTACAGTTCATGTGCAGGGTGTGTGCACTTACCTGGAAGAAGACGTCCACGTGCTGCCGTGGAGTGTCCTCTTTGAGCACGGGGTATGTGTATTTCCCCATCATGTCATAGATTGCTTTGACAATGTCCATCATCTCCTGGAGCAGGGACATAAAAGCACAGTGTGGGAACCATGAGGTCAAGCTCTTTCTAGATGACAGTGTTTGGAGCTCCTTATGCCCCTTGCCAATGAAAGGGATTAAAAGGTGAGGTCCTTCTTTAGCGGGTGTGAGGGAGTTAGATGGTAGATAATTCTTAAAGCCCTCAGAAGTTCACGGGTGGGTTACTTCATTATGGGCATTGTCTTCAGTGAGGGGTGATGTGTGGGATCCCCATTCACAGACTGGAGGCAAATAAAATATTATTCTGAATTTTAAAAAAGTTAATGTTCTAGCCTAGAGATTAAAAAATTCCCCTAGGGTCTGCCACTGTTTTAAGTTAAGGAAAATGAACCAACAGCTAAGCATATCCACAGGGCACGTGAGGCCAATAGTTCCACAGACTAAGGCCCTTACTAAAAAGGTGGGTTCTCAAGTCCACCCCAAACCTACTGAATTAGAACACCTTAGGGCTAGGTCCTGGGAGTTTCCATGTCTATCAAGGCACATTAGGAACCATTATTCTGATCATTCTGGCCCAAGTCGTAATGGGGATAAAGGAGTGTTTGGGATGTTTGATGTGGTTTCTACAGAGACCCAGGGGACAGTCTTATTCCATATGCTTATTTTATTGTTTTTTTTGTTGTTTCATTTTCACCTATTATTAATAATTTTAGACTTACAGAAAAGTTACAAAATAGTATGGAGTTCATGATACCTTTCACCCAGTTTCCTCTCATGTTACCAACCTGCATAACCAGAGCACAATGATCAAATCTAGGAAATTAACATGCTACACTATTACTAACTAAACTACAGGGCTTATTCAAATTTTATCAGCTTTTCAACGAATATCTTTTTTCCTTTCAATGATTCTACATTGCATGTGTTTGTTGTGTCTCCTTAGTCTCTTCTAATCTGCATTAGTTTCTCATTCTTTTTTTTTTGAGATAGAGTCTTGCTCTGTCACCCAATGCTGGAGTGCAGTGGCACTATCAGGGCTCACTGCAGCCTCAACCTCCTGGGTTCAAGTGATCCTCCCACCTCAGCATCTCAAGTAGCTGGGACTCCAGGCACATACCACCATTCCTGGCTAATTTTTGTAGAGATGGGGTTTTGCTATGTTGCCCAGGCTGGTCTCAAACTCTTGGACTCAAGTGATCTTCCTGTCTTTGCTTCCCAAAGTGCTGGGATTATAGGCATGAGCCACCATTCCCAGCCTGAGTTTCTTCCTTGTTGTTCAGGATCTCACACTTTTGATATGAGTATAGGTCAGTTGTTTTGTGAAATGTCTCTCAATTTGAGTTACTCCCTGGTTTACTTATGATTAGATTGGAGTTATGCATTTTTGGCAAGAATACCACAGGAGTGATGTTATAACCTTCTCAATGCATCATATCAGGGAGTTACATAGCGTTGAGATGTCTTAGTATTGATAACGTTGACCTTGATCACTTGATTAAGGTGGTGTCTGTTAAGTTTCCTTACTGATTTAGTATCTTTCAGTGGATCTTGCCTTCAGAAAGTATTACTGTAGTGTTTGCCTAACAGCAATTTTGTATTTCCTTTGTTCCTTCTATATTTATTAATTAAACATCTTCTGTAAGGAAGAGATGCCCTCTCTCCTGCATTTATTTATGTATTTAGTTGTTTATTTACATTAACATGGACTCCTGGACATTCACCATATTTTACAGGTTATAATCCAATACTTAATAATTTTAAATTTTGCTCAAATTGCTCTCATTCTGGCTATTGTGAGCTCCTTCAGGTTGACTCCTGCAGTTTTCTTTTATTCTTTAGTACTTTCATATCTTCCAGCATGATAAAGTACTCCAGGCTCATCTTATATTTACTTTTCTCCAATCTTGGAATCAACTATTCTCCAAGAAGACTGGTTCTTTCTATTGAAGAATGGTATTTAGAAATCAAGGTCTAGGTGCTAGGTATGCTCACTGCTACAGGAATGTCATTGCTCTGAGGGGCCCTCAACAGATAGAACCAGGAAATATATGTCTCTATCCATGTATTTATTTTAAAGTGTGTGCTTTACAAGCCCTTCACATTTACATGGCCATTGATGCTTTTCCGGTCTGATTTTTTTTCGTAATCACAGGAAGGACTTAAAGAGCAATTTTGTTGCTCTTTCAGGATTTTCACTGCCTACAACTTGGATGAGACTATCTCCCAATGATTGCCAGGAGAAGAGCCTGCTATCTTTTCTAAGAAGCTACTTATCCATACTTTCTTTTTCTTTTAAGGGATACTTTATTAATTCTGCCCTCCAGAGAGATCTGATGGATTAATGGGGACAATTCTGTCTAGTTTGTGGATTACAAAAAAGGAGCAGGAGCTAGTAAGGTTATTCAGTGATGAAACAGTGAGTGAACCAAAGTTGAAGACCAAGTAGTACAAATCCCCTTTCTGCATTTTTTTCTTTATATATTTTTGCAAGGCAGTATTTGAATACTTTAGAGTATCATATATTTGCATGTGTATACAAGCATTTAGTTGTTTATAAAATTGAGATATCATACATACTACTTTATTAAGTGATTTGAAAATGTAATGTTTTGTACTAATATTTATTTTACAGTACTATTTCATGATTTTAAGTGGCCACCTGCTATTCCATTAAATGTATTTACTGGAATTCATTTTACGAATCTGCTGTTAGTGGATATTACATTATCACATTTTGGGGGACTATTACCTGAAGACTCTTCTTACTTTTAAGTCTTTGTCTCTAATTTTTATTTCCTTGGGACATATACCAAGATGTGGTTTATAAGGAGAATGGGATGCATACCTTTCGATGCTTTTGATACATATTCCTCAAATACCTTTTAGAAAGTTTGTATCAGAACACTCTCAGCAACTGTGTATGAAAAACCACTTTTACCAACCTTCAACAATTACAAAATCTTCGCAATGTAATAGATAAGTGATAATTCATTGTTTTAAAAGATATACATTACCTTCTTAGTGAGGTTTCTGATGTATGTGTTGACTATTTTTATTTATTTTCTCATGAACTATTTGTTCCTCTGCTTTGCTCATTGTGTTTCTCTATTTCTGACTGGATTGTGAGAGCTCTTTATATATTTGGGTGATTTATGAAATTGTTAAAATCTCTTAATAGATTTTTAAATTTATGTAAAAGATATTTTAATGCATCTACCATGTGCTAGATATTGTGTCAAAGAAATACAAAGATAAGCATGATAAATACGACTCTTGGCTTTGTTAAAATGAATGCCTACTGAGAAATATCAATCCTTTCTGTCATCATAAATTGCAGATATTTTTTAACAAGTTTGTCACTTGCTTTTCAATTTTGTTTATGATATTTTTTGATATACAGAATTTAAAAATATTTACAGTATAAAGCCATCAACAATTTAAAAAATTATTTCCAACTTTGATTTTATGCTTTGTTCATTCTATGATCAGATATTTACATAAGACTTTTAGTTAAAAATCAACTATATATATCTATAGTGACTTTGGATTTATAGTACTAAGAACATTTACTTACCTGTTGCCAAAATAGCTAACCAGTTTTCCCAGAATCATTTAATTATTCATTACCTATCTATTCTCTATTCAATATGCTCCCTCTATTATAAACCAAGATGTTATTTGTACCTGGGCTTTCTAGTCTGTTTCATTGATCTACCTGTTCTTTCTCTGATATTATAATATTTTAATAGTTTCAGCCTTATTATATGTTTCAGTATCTGGTAGAACAAATCCCATTTTTCTCTTTTTGAAAATTATCTTTGCTATTCTTATCTCATTAATCTTCCAATGAAACTTTATAACAATTGTGCCACATTCCCTCCCCAAATAACACTTTCATTTTGATTCAAAATGAAATAAATGTAAAGTTAATTAGAGAAGAATTGCCATCATTACAATATTGCTATCTTTATATGTATACTCCTTCAGAAAATGGTATGTTTCTCTACTTATCAAATTTTTCTTTCTCTTCATCTAAATTATGAATTTTTAAAATGCCCATGTGCCTTAAATTTTATTGTGATTACAATTAGAATATTTTTGTTACAATTTTCTAGCTAGTCACAGCTGCTATATTGGCTATACAATTTCTTTTTGTGTATGTATTTTATTACCAGTCATTTTGCCAGCTTTTTAAAAGTTCTAATAGTTGTAAATGGATTTTCTTGCTGTCTTTTTTCTCAGATAGAAAATCGTGTCTTTAACAAGGAATGTTGTAATTTTTCATATTTAGATCTCATTTCTTTTTCTGTTTGACTGTATTTGAAGAACTTCAGGAAATGTTAAATGGTGGTGATGTTTGACAGTGTGCACTCTTGTCTCATCTTCCCTTTAGTGAGAATCTCCGCATCTTACCATCAAGTATGAAGCTGTGTACTAGGATGGGGTATTTTCCATCATGCTGAAGAAGTATTTTATTCCTAATTAACTGAATCTTGAAAATTATTATGAATAAATGGTAAATTATATCAAATGTGATTTTAGCATCAGTTTAGTCTTTTGATATATTAATTTGATGAATTATTTAATAGATGTTCTCTACTCTTGGACTATTCCTGCATTCCTGGAATAAACCTTATCTTAGTCATGTGCTTTTCTTTATTTTATTATTATTATTATTTTTTGAGGAAGAATCTTGCTCTGCTGTCCAGGCTGGAGTGCAGTGGAGTGATCATTGCTCGGGGCAGTCTTGAACTCCTGGGCTCAAGCTATCCTCCTGCTTCAGCCTCTGGAGTAGCTGGGAGCACAGGCATGTGCCACTACACCCAGGTAATTTTTAAATTTTTCTTTTGAAGAGACAGGCTCTCTCTGTGTTGACGAGGCTGGTCTTGAACTCCTGTGGTCAACCCATCCTCCTGCCTCATTCTCCCAAAGTGTTGGAATTACAGGCAAGAGCCTTTGAACAGAGCACTGGGATTAATTTCCTAGTATCTCATTAAAGATTTGTAATCTATAGTTTGAATGAGATTGGGTTCTTA